AAATTTTGTAGAGGCGGGATATTTTAAATTTTTGCTTAAAGTTTTACTATAAGTAGTAATTGTGAAATTTTAGGCGGGAAACATATGATTTTTAGTTGCTATTATAAGTAATTGTCAAACCTTTTTATATATTTATAGATATAACCAAGTTGCTTTATGTTGTGCACAAAAAGTCGTGAGTAAATAAAATTTTTGCATCCAACTTTACAACTTTAGAAAGAATTATAACTATTACCGTAATCATGAATTTTATAAAGGACATCATTATTACAGGGCGGATCTAGTAAATATAATGAACAAGGGTCTAACTATATAATTAAAAAAATATAAAAAACTTAATGAAAAGGGCAAATACAAATACAGTGTCTTGAGAATAAAAACTTGATCATCTTAACTAATTTTGGCATTGATAACAGAATTTCCCGTCCTATAATGTTTGTGTCAAAGATACTAGACTTTCTCTCAAATCTATTTGGATTCAAAATATCATTCAAAATATCTTCTTTTGAGATATTTTCGCAAGAATTTTGTTAACATGTCCTTTTTTGAAAATATCAATGTCTGATATACAAAAATAATAATATAAATTTACAATAAATGAAATATCCCATTTTGATATATCACACTTTAAATAGCTGTAAAAAAAAAAAAAAAAACCTAAAAGGGCTTGAATGTGCAATTTCAACATAAAAAATAATATATTTACCACTATCTGGAAAAATAAAAAAGAGTAATTTTTACCTCTAATAAAACAAACAGAAAGAATTTCGTTATTCTGTAAGTAGTCTTCCCGTATAGTTGGACCAAAAATTGACAAAGTCTTTGACTCTTTCTTTTTTACCCTTATTTTTCCCTCCTTTTCTTTCCCTCTGTATTTGTCTGTGTGATCCATGCACTCTTTTCTCTTGTTTAATTATTTTGTTAAATGTTTTATTAGTTTATTATATTAAGCTTATTTATTGGGCTCATATGGGCTAGTAATTAGTCTTTGTGAGTTGGGCAATTTTTGTTGGGCTCATATAGCATAATTATTATTTTTTAAATTAAACAATATGGGTTAATAATAATACTATATTTTTTTTCCAGTGTGGGCCTAGGCCCACACTGGTTCCAATAAGGCTCCGCCCCTGATTATAGTGTACATTAATTAACAATTCGAATGAAAAGTAATGTTGTACAAGTAATATTCTCTACTTATTCGTTTACCTCTCCCATGCACAGATATAATATTATGATTGTATTATAAATTAAATATATAATAACATGAATAATTATTTATCCATTATTTTTAAAATCGGACAGGACCGGAAAGTCCTATTAAGTTCGGTGAAGAACATTGATGATTGTGCAACGAATCTAAAGAATTGAATCCTAAGCGCAACAGATCTAAGGTTAAGATTCTAATCTTACGCTTCAAAATATAACGACTATTAGATGATTTACATGGTCTATGGGACCAGACAAACGGATGATCTCTTGATCTTGTGTCGTATGTCCCGACACCTCTTCTCGCTCGTCTTTGAGGGCGACGATTGCTCGAATCTCCCAGAGTCTCACGCATGTCTAGATCTTGGGAAATAAGAAAGGAGATCATGTGTTATAGAACACTATCTTCGATTTTCTTTCATAGAACCTCAGGCCATCTCTCTCTCTCTCTCTCTCATGTTTGTTTCACCGAGATTGTTGAATGAGTTTCAAGTGTGGGACTCCTTGAGACTTGGTGCATTTAAAGACTATAACAGGGACCTAGAGGAAATATTAAATCGGGACTCTCCATAGGATTAGGTAACTTAGATTATGGTCCACCTACACCTAATCTATATGGATAACATTTCATTCCCATTAAATGAATATTAATATTGAACTTTCTATTTAATCCTGAATTAATTTAATTCGTCTCCATATTTATTCACTCGATTTATCTCCTCATGTTTAAGATCTAACGTCCGCTAATTAATTTAACTACTGACAGTATAATTAATTAACTTCTTATTTCCAAAACTAGTATCACTCAACCTTCTTATTATACTGGAATTTAATCTGCTTGCAAGGCTTGACATGATAAACGTCTTGAGCTCATTTTAGGGACGTCATTAACCGCCACACCGAGATACAATTGTTGTAGATAATCTTAATAGAATGTATTGCATTTAATATTATTACCTAACCACCCATTCTATTGATCCAACAGTTGATTCTCAATCTTATTTTTGTCAAAGTAATAGATATTAAATGCACACAACCATTCATTATTGATGTAGCACCAAAAAATAACTCGATGGACCGGCTTGATCGGTTAGCTCACATAATGCCGGTCCAAGAGAGGTTGGAGCCTAATTTATGTGATAAACAATATTATTTAAAGATATTCATGAAAGTTGGCTACACAGTTACTGAGGAACATCAGAATTCTGATATATTGAGGAAACTCATTATCTTGGGGAGTAAGTCATTAAACCCCTTATAAATAAGGGACCAGGTCCATTTTCTAATCCTAAGCTCTGATGATTTCTTAACATACACAATCAAAATATATGTTTTCTGACTTGAGCGTCGGAGTGTCTACGCCGGGGCCCGCCCCGGCGCTTTGCAGGTCGATCCGATTCTTGAAGACAAGGCGATCGAGACAGCCGGACTGTCGCAATCGAGATGAGGTGGTTCGACCGGCAACCTAAGTGAGTCAATTATTTTGGCCCATCAATTATCTTATAGCTAGCTTAAGAGTAAGGGTAATAATTGAACTCTAGACTATTTACTGGTTAGTATAAAATAATCTTATCCTCTAAGGTTTGTTCTACAGTCAAAATGTACTAGTTCAATTTATAAGTCAAGATAAACTAATTCAAAATTATACTACAACCTTTCAAGATAGTTTGTCCAATTCTATCTAGATTGTAAAGTTTAATTTTTATTCACAAGCAACCAACGGTATAAATCTTCTGTTCAACACAACGAACTATATTATCTCTCATGTAAAATAATAGGATAAACATTTTTGACTAAACATGATTCTCATTTAAAAATGTTTGCAAACAAAGTCATATTATTTAGTATAGAAACCAACAATCTCCCACTTATGCTCAAAGTTCATGCTTTTCTAGTATACATCTTACAATCATATACCCAAAGAACTAAGTCGATCTTATCACTATACATCTGGCTCTCATTCCTTCTACGTGCTTATTAAAGGCTTTCGTTGGTAGGCACTTCATAAAATGATCGACTAGGTTGTCCTCCAATTATGTCTTGTCAACCATAAGAAGTCCTCTTTTTAAGAACATCTCGTATCAGTCGGTACTTTCACGCTATGTATTTACTTGCCTTTTGGGCTTGTTGTTTGTAGTGTTTTTGACGAGTACGATCATAAAGACTAACCCCGGGTCTTCTATCAAAGAAGGTTTTAAGTAATGATTGATTCACAAAAACGGAAAATAAAATGTCCTAAACACTCTACTCGCAATTTTGTGATTGATTTAAGCTAAAGTTAACGCAATTGAAGGCAAAAATGAAAGCAAGACTTAATATTTAACGCACAAACTGGTCCAAAAACTCCAGTGTAGTCACGGCTAGCTGGAACCGCACTAGATATCCGAAATCTTTTCCCATACGATCATCCCTGGAGCTGAACCGGAGGTCGACCACCTACTCCCCTCCTATCGACAGAGCCCTCCGGCCCGACCGATCAAGCACCCAACCACCACAAACCCGTCCACCTAATTACAGCCCCCACCAGTCTCGACAAAACCACCGGCCAGCCCGAACCACTAAACACAAGAAGTCGGCAAAAGAGGGAGAGATAAACAAACCTTGGTCCTGACCAGTTCCAAGGAAGCTGGCTGGAACCCGCTGAACTCCTTCGGTCGAAGACCTGGGTACCCCGAACAGCGATAGAGGCGCCTTTAGGGGATTTAGCGAGACCTGCAACCGGTGGTGATTCGAGGCGTCGAGAGGGGAGACCAGCCCGAATAGCAGCGGACGGCCCGAGCCGCGCAGCAAGATCGGTGAAGAGGAGGCGACTGCGAGGGTTTTTGATTTGAGGTTTTTGAGGTGGAGAGAGAGCTCAATTAGTTGGAAGTTCCAACTTAGGTTGTTAAAAAAATCATGCTATTACAATTATATAATTGTGAACAAAAGAGTGCGTGTGACAAGAAGCTTGTAGCCCAACCAATATGGCCTTGTTTGTTTAATAGCTTTTTGCCATAATTCAGCGTTTTGTAGCTTTAGCTTATTTTACTTTTTTTATCCAACAAAAAAAATGTTTGGTAATTAGCTTTTTCAAGTAGCTTTTTTGTCCTATCCGCTAAAAATGAAAAAGCTCCATTTTGAAGCATTTTGAATTAGCTTGTGAAGAAAAAAAAAATTAAAGTCACAATTGCCCTCTCTCATCTTCTCAAAAATCTTTTTATTTCATTCGAATTTTTTTCACGTCCCACCAGCCTCTAATTGATTGATACATGAATATGAGGATATAGAACAATCAATGATAAGTTCTTTTGTGCCTTTGGTGTGCCTTTGTTGCTCTGTTTTGCTTTTGTGCCTTTATTGTTCTATCTAATTTATTTATAATTTTATTATATTTAAATCACTTTAAAAAATATTTAAAATACTAATTATTTCTTTCTTAAATAATTATAAGTTCAATATAAATTAAACTGATAAAGTATATTGATGTCCTTATAAGTATTTTTACATGTTAACAGCTAATTAAAATAACTAATTTCACCAAACATTTTTTTACAAACCGCTAACACAATCAGCTGGTCAAAACAGCTAATACAAACCGCTGGTCAAAACAACTAATGCAATCCGCTAACAGCTAACAGCTACCAACTGATTACCAAACAAGGCCTATATCTTATTCTTATATGTAATACCTTGCATACTAGTACAACGCCGTGTATTACACGGATGCTTGTTAAATTTTTTTCTCAAAATATTAAATTAATAAGAAAAAGTAGTTGAAAAATTAAATACTTTACATATATATATATATATATATATATATATTATTTATTTTAGTACGACACTTGTTACTTGTGCGACTTACATGTGTTATATTATAATAAATTTTCTAACTTATAACATATAACTACATTAAACATGAATATATTAATTGAGAGATAATTTTATTTTTTAATTAATTTTAATAAATAATTTTTTATTATTGTAAAAATAAATATAATTTATTTATTTTATATATACAATATGAATGTCAAATCGAAGCTCGTCAAAAGATGATTAATTTGATACATTATATATGTAAAACCGATAAGAAATACAAAAGTTATCAACTGTTAAAATACATTTACAATTCAATAGTTATAATAGGAAATAATATTAAAATACAATTAATACATCTAAATAATCATACGTAAATCAACATATTTATGGTAATCCGAACCTAATAAATTTTGGATTGGAATAAAATTGAAATCTATCCGAGTCAAATAACAAAGCATGGAATTTTTTACACTTAGGATTCCGAAGCATGCGAGTCTGCCACTTAAGCTCAGAACATTTGGGAAGTATATATAGGGGGATTTTGAGAATTTGAGATTCCCTGAAAGCAATTTTTAGGCTCCCTAAAAACAATAAAATTGTTAAGCATGCCTAACAATTAGACTACCATAATTTTAATTAAATATATATCTTTTCAAACTGAAATATTACATTCTAAAATACATCATGAACGTACGTGTAATATTTTATAGCACAAAAATAAAAAATAAAAATAAAAAAAAAAATCCCCTCAAAAAACACATTCATATATCGTTCCAGAAGAATTTACGCTACCTAAAACAACAACGGATATTCATCTTGTATACTCTCAAAGCTTAAATTCAATGAAAATCACAATTCAAGATTCGGATTAATAGAGAATACCATTTGCGTTCATTTGGGATATTGCCATAATCACCAATTTTATATTGCAGCCTGTAGCCATTTTGGTAGTCTGAGTGAAGCGTTCATCCCCAGCCTCGTAAAAAATTGAGCATATAAAAGATGAAGCACGAACACAAAGACACCAGAACTGAGCAAGAGCTGTGAAGAAACAAAGTATGAGAAGGATAATCAAAAAGCTGCCATAAGGTCAGTAGCGAAAAATATCAAAAATTTATTAGTCTCTTTCAAATTATCAACGAAAAAAAAATATAAGAATTGATAACTGAATGCTTTATTAAATTATGGTAATGGGCTTCAAGTGAAAATTGTAATTTAGTACAAATTTAAGATAAGAAATGTCAATTGAACTAAGTAAGAAATTGAACAATCACTTACAAGAAGCCCGAAAGTGAAGTATATAAAATTCACTGATGGGACTGAGATGAAGCCGAAGGCGGAGAGGATAAATGTGACGAGAGCATGAAGATTTATAGTGATCTACAAACCAAGCAAATGTAGCTTGTGAGAAAAAAAAAAGCTGGGATCAAAAGGATTACTTGCTGGGAGAAGAAACTATGACCAGGCCATAATTTACCAATGCCAATATATTTTCTCCAATTAGATATGAGGCAATCACAACATTTCCTAGAGATCCTATAGATCGGACCTGCAATAAGGGCAACCATTGTTACATCCAAAATTAGCAAATGAATGTTATCTGGTGATCAGAAAAGAAATAATACGATTGTGCACAGGAAGACTGAAGCACCCCAATTTGTCTTTAACCTGACAATAATAGACATCACATTTCTATTTATCAACATAACATGCCAAATCTAGTACTAGTGTGTGCGTGTATGTACATATATAATGTGCACACAAGATGTCAAAAGTCATATATACCTCCAAAAGGTACCCATCGCTAGACCAAGCAAACCATGAGATAACTGGCAAGAGAATGTAAATTCAGATCAGTGTCTGCTTTTATGCTTCAATAAAACAAAGGAACTCTAAATAAATTACCCTTGAGGTTTCACCTAATCACAAAGAAACAGCTAATTTTAGAAATATAAGAGAACACCCCTGTTGTTTAATTCAGGGCACACTTTTTGTTGTGAAAGACGGTTGTTCTCTGTATTTATAAGTCAAATCCAAATAATAATATGAGGCTATGAAAAGCAAAGAATAAAGCTCAAAAGCTAGGTAGAAGAATCTACAATGTTATTAGTATAAACAAAAGAAAAGAAAGTGGAATATCAAGACCAATTTGTCCCATTTATTCTATAACACGCAAGATGATCATAATAACTCACCAAATAAGTAACTGCTTTCACCGGACCAGATAAGACGAACAATAATACAGTAGTTGCCACCTGAACAAAAATAAACCACAAGATGGAAACTGCATTATCTGCATAAAAATAAAAATCCTGAAAGAAAAGTATGATGTAAAAAAGGCTTGCGCACAACATACCATGGTTTTCCTGCCTGCTCCAACACCCCATCTCATAGTTGAAAGGACTATCGGCAAAGCAAAGAAACATGCAAAGTATTTCTACATAATTCAATTGCACATGAGCATAAGGATCACTACACAAACTTATAGCAGATATTTTTTAGGTGATAAATATCCTCAACAATACTAAAGAAGATTAATCTTTAAATCGATTCCCACAATAGCATGTTTGTGGTGACATAAATCTCTCCCTACAACTCATGAGTTAAGAATTCTGACAACAACAAGGTCTACTCGACACGAATGAATTAGGCCTTAATGGAAACCCTTCACAGGAATCTTTCACCAAAGGAGTGGATTAGAATTCATCATGGTCCATCGGTGCGCTCGTTCCGGATTGCTTTATGAAAGAAGAATTAGTTTGGGGACCGTTGCTTTCTTATTATTTAAAAATAAGGACGGAAATCTTTGCCTATACCCCACCCCGACTCGTTCTAAAAAAAATATAGAAGAAAGAGGGTCTGGATCCTAAGGAAAAGTGTTTTGTTTCCACCGAGCTAAAACAATATGCTGATGTCTCTAGTAAACCAAAGTCACTATGGACTAGTACCATGTTCGAGTCCTAGACAAGCGGATCTAATTTTAACAGCCGGAACAAAAGATTTTTTTGAACGTGTTCATTCATTTTAACTACTTTCGCATATTTTATCATAGTAATGTAATTTCAACCCTCACCTTCCCGGAGTTTATTCTCCGGTATTGTGATATCCTGGAAAATTAAAAAGTAGTTGCTACTCCCAAGTCGTACCGAATGAACTAAAATAAAATCTAAAACAGTGCTTACCATCATTCAAATGCAAAATAAAAGAAAAAAACTCTGGCAGTATGCTGTGTTCGTGTTTTGCCATTTTTGTACTAATTACCAACACGAGCAACAACAAGAGAAGATTTGAAATATCAGAATCCAAATGCCCAAACATTCCAACTGAAGCAGTTAATTACGAATAAACAAAAAATGAAGTTCTATCTTCTAAGCCAGTCCTGGGTCATTTGAAAGTTCAATCTTGGGTTTTTTGATCGAACCATAATAAGCATAGAAAGCCAACCAACTAAGTCCAATAATTACTGCTCAAGGATAATAGACTGAACAAAAAGCAATAACCTCAATGGCTAGAGAGTTGCTCAAAAGAAATGCCAAAGCCGAGACAGCAGCAAACATTGCACACTCGACCAATCTCAAGGTCTTCTGATAAACCTCTCCATCTTCTGCCAAGTACTCCTCGAAATCTTCGCTCTCCCTCTCTTCATCCTTCCCAATCGAAATTGGGATTGCTAAAACCTTCGAAATCTCTGCAGACTTGGTGAGAGAGTAAGGGGTAGCGGAAATGGTTGAGGAGAGTCGGAAACTTCTTCCAAGAGAGGCAAAACTGAGAAAGCGAGGGCGAAGAGAGGGTTGATGGAGGGGCCGCAGAGGGTAACAGTGGGTGGGGAAGTTGTGTTTCAGAATATTCATGCTCTTTTCATGGAGAAGATAGAAGATTTAGGTAGTCTATGATGGCGGGGTGGTCTGCTCTGCGTCGACCGTGGATGTGATGTTTGCACCTACGACGGTTGAGAGTTGAGACGGCTCGTATCAACCTTTCCCGCCTCCGACCTCCTCTTCTGTGTATTGCTTATCCTTTAATAGGAGACAAAATTTGTGTAGTTGTTAGACCGAGTTATTACGGAGAAAATTAAGGCCCTCGTTGGATAGAAAAAAAAAACTGTCTCATCTCAAGTTGACAATTAAGGCCCTCGCTTTTAATATTTATCTTATTATTAAAGGCGGCGGCAAGAAAGTAAGATACGTAAGGATAAGTAAGGTCAAGCAAGGACAATTAAGCACATAAGGCAGATACGGCAGATAAGTCAATTAAGACAATTAAAAGCACAAACATATATCTAACTCTTTTACGAGCTCTTAACTTTACTGAAACTGGTTTTCTCTTCTGATCTCAACTTAAGTTAGCTAAGTGCTCATAGGAACTTGCTTCCCAACTGCTAACTCAACTGCTAACTGCTGATCTGCTGATTTACTGACTGGTGGCTGCTACTGATTGCCGACGACCAATAAGCAAACAAAACTGGCAAAGACATTTAATTTCACATAAGCAGATAATTCAGACAGAGATAACTTAAACAGATCAAGCTGCTGCTGACTGCTCGGCTAAACTGGACTTGACTAAAGTTCTCGGAAACCTAACATAGGCTCGGAACACTAAACTGGATTTTTTGGACTGTCTCAAACCGACAATACTCAGGTGCATAAATCACCCCTTTTACTCTCACTTTCTCAAGCTTTCAAGGGCAACTAACAAGGCCCTAAGTACTTAATTTAATCTCAAATAAATACATCGATTCATCAATTAAAGCACCTTTCCAATGTTCAGCAAATAAGCAATCAAGTAGGCATGCAAAACACATGATATACCTTTTTCTTTTCCTCATTTTATTCTAATTCTCATCACACACACACACACATAGGGCCATATGAACTGAGGCTAAAGCTAAAAAAAAAATACTCCATTCACATTTCACAGCATAATAAATTCATCATAAAGCTCAGCATAAAAAGTATATAAAGGGCACATCCATGGATCAAATCATCATACAAACCAGCCTTTATCACCTTCTTCTCTTCTCTTTTCTTAAGGCATAAAGAGCTCATATACACTAACACATAAGGATCACATAAAGACAGCAACATGAGCTCTAAAACACACATAAGGACAGCACATAAATTCAGCAGCTAAGTCATCCAAAACAAGGCCGATAAAGATGCAAAGTGAACTTCTTTCTCTTTCTCATACTTAAAGCATGCTTAGCAATCATTTTGGGCTGGAATATATGCACCTTAAACACTCATTTTAACAGCATTATAGCATCAAAAACTGAGGCCAATACATGCTCAAAAATCTCATTAAAACAGCTCTCAACTCAGGCTCTTTTTTGGCATTAAAAATTTAGGCAAGTATCTGAGCATTTACCCTCTGAAACAGAACACAAAACTCAGCATTTGAACCTCATAAACATGGTTCAGTAACACAATCAAAACAAGGCCGAAAACCAACATCACAACTTCTGCTCATGCTCTTATTTCCTCCTTTAAGCATGCTTCTCATAACTAAAACTGAACTAAACACACATAAAAATTCACATATTTTCGGCCATTTGAATGCTAAGAGGTTCAGCTTTTAATACCTCTCTCCGGTCAAGGTTTAAAGCCGGAAAACGGCTCAGGTGTGCCTGACGGGCACGGTTTGGCTCTCTGTCACGGTGGTTTTCGGCTGGGTGTGGCTGCTCAGGGTCGCGGGCGCTGCTTGGTTCTATTAGCCGCCGGTCGGAGGTCGAAGCTCAGGGGTTGCGTCTCGAGATTAAGGCTCGCTATCGGAGGACAATTGCCATGAAATTGGAGCTTCGATCGTGAAATCCGAGGCTCGAGGTCACGGGTTACTTTTCTCAGTCGTCGGACAAGGCTCTCGCCGGAAAACTGAAGAACTTCTCGGAGGCTTTGCGGGGCGATTTTAAGGAATTTGCCAGATATTGAGGTTTTTCTGATGTTGGGAAAATTGAAGAACTCAAGTATGCATTTATTACTGGCGAATTATATGGTCAGATATTTTTAGTAAATACTAATATATATGTATATATATAATAAAATAGACTTCACTCGGTTCTGGTTCGGACTGTTATAGTGATGAAACGGTTTCTTCGAATTTGGACTTCCACACCTACAAGAAATCAACGCCGGAAAGGAAATTTTTCGGCGAAGATCATCTGATGCTTAAGTCAATATCATTTCTCGATAATGAATAGTAAATAAAAATATTAAAGTGTGTGAAGAATGTAACTCCAAAACTAACCTACCACATCCCTTTATATAGGGGAGTGATATCTTGTTCTTCAAGTCTGCCCTGAGAGTTGACCTTGTTGCCCCTGCTGCCCGTCTGTACGACCCGCAGCACCTCAGACTGTCAGGCGTCAAAGGTACAAACGACCCAATCTCATTGTGACGCCTGGTCCAATCCTCGCACGACGTGGTTTCCCATATAGATGCCTTTTTGTCTCCTTATGAGGTCGAATCTACTTTACTAGGTTGAATGTTCGTCCTGGCAAAATATGCTTCTCTTCAGTTCCCCTTTCAGTTGGATAGAGCAATGTCAATTCGACCTCTTAGTCACCTATGTTACGCAAAATTGCAATTTATTATTATTATTATTATTATTATTATTATTATTATTATTATTATTATTATTATTATTATAATTATTATTATTGTCATTGTCATTATTATTATTATTATTATTATTATTATTATTATTATTAAAAAAATTAAATTGTTTTTTGTGTAAATTTATTAGGTGTATGTGTCTGCATTGAAAAAAAAATCAATTTTTGCTTAAGATGATTATTATTTATTTTTTTATTCAAGAGTTCTGTTGATTTGGGATGATTTGATGACACGTACGAGGTAGGATATATATCGGGGTGAGTCAGAAACAATGGAAAAAAATGTGAACCGCTAAACACCGCCCCCTTTTCATATTTACCTCCCCTAAAAGACTAATTTGCCCTTTATATATTTTTTTAAAAATAATAGATGTCCCTCTTTAAACCTATTTACCGGTCAAATTTTTAATTATATACATTATATTAGAATTTAGATTTATGTTATAAATTAGAATTTAATATCTCATAGTTAGAATTTAGAAATTGTTAAAGTGTAAATTATAACTAATTAACTTATAGAATTTTATTATTATTATGTTAGAACTCATTAATTATTATGTTATATAACATAATATTAATTATCTCTAATAAAATACTAATGAGTGATGCTATTAAAAATTATAGTTCTATTTTTTTCTTAAATCTGTTCCTTTTCGACTCGGTAATAAATTTTAAAATACAAATAATATTTTGACTTAAATTTGAAATTCATAAATACCAATTTAAATAACAAATTGAACGAAAAATATCAGATTTTGTTATAGTAATTTATTGAGACCGATTAATTCAATATGATTTGACCGAATTTTGTAACAAAAGATTGTTTGACACTTTTCTCAGAGTTATATGATTCGTGTGAATATTATAGTAGGAAAAGCGTTCTAACAAAGTAGTAATAAATTCTAATTTATAATAGTAATAATCTATACCATAATAATTTCTAACTTCTAACATAGTAGTATTAAATATTTTTTCATGAGGCTATCAATTCTAAATCATACCATAATAATATCCAACTTCTAACATAATAGTAATAAATTATAATTTATAACATAATCAATTTTAATCTATAATACAGTAATTTTTAACCTCTAACAAAATAACAATAAATTCTAATTCATAAGAGAATAAATTCTAATCTATAATACAATAATTTCTAACTTCTAACATATTAGTAATAAATTCTAAGATAATCAATTCTAATATATAACATAATAATTTATACTAATATATTTTTTCAAAAAATTATCATTTCTGATTTATAATAATATAACTTATACTAATTATACTAATATTATTTTTTTAACTGTATATTTTTGTTAGTTCAATTTATCCTCAACAAGTGCATAACAAACATAACTTTAAATTAGGGTTTAGGGTTTAGGGTTTAGGGGTTTAGGGTTTAGGGTTTAGGGGTTTAGGGGTTTAGGGGTTAGGGTTGAGGGTTTAGTGGTTAGGGTTTAGGGTTTAGGGTTTAGGAGTTTAGGGTTTAGGGGTTAGGGTTGAGGGTTTAGTGGTTAGGGTTTAGGGTTTAGGGTATATTATGTTTGTGATTGTCATTATGTTAGAAATTATTGTATTATAAATTAGAATTGATTGTCTTATGAATTAGTATTTATTGCTATTTTGTTAGACGTTAGAAATTATTGTATTATAGATTAAAACTGATTATGTTAAAAATTATAATTTATTACTATTATGTTCGAAGTTGGATATTATTATGGTATGATTTAGAATTGATAGCCTTATGAAATAATATTTAGTACTACTATGTTAGAAGTTAGAAATTATTATGGTATACATTAATACTATTATAAATAAAAATTTATTACTATTTTGTTAGAACAATTTTCCTACTATAATATTCAAACGAATCATATAACTCCGAGAAAAGTGTCAAACAATCTCTTGTCATAAAATTCGGTCAAATCATATTGAATTAATCGGTTTCAATGAATTGCTCTAACAGAATCCGATTTTTTTCGTTCAATTTGTTATTTAAATTGGTATTTATGAATTTCAAATTTAAGTCAAAATTTTATTTTGTATTTTAAAATTTA